AAGTTTCACATTAGTTTTTTTTTAAATATGACATACAACACTGTTGAAAAAGGTACTTAAGGTTGTTGGATTGATATAAGGCTGAACAGAGGTTACTCATTTAATAACCGGTTCCGATTTGATTTTGCTAACTTTGTAAAATACTATTTCTATAACTTTTTTACTCATTCAGATCATTGCTAATGAAATACTAACAGTTTTATGTCTACATCTTAAAAATCGTAAATGACTGAGTATATGACACATAATCTTGTTGAAACAAATAAATTAAAATAAAAAAAAACAGATAATGAAACCTAACATGGTTTACAGGCACTAACATTTACTAAAAATAATGTCCATATATGCATTATTACAAAATGGGGTGTATTAAGAACAAAATGTGATGTATTAAGAATAAAATCAAGATAAATATAACAAAAATCTTATGAAATAAAAATGTATTAGGAAAAAAAATACAAGAAACTATATTATTTTTTTTGGATAAAAGTTATGAAACATAACACTCATTTTGAGTCAAATTAATCAAAATTTTAATTATTTCTTTATAAGAAAGATAATTTAATTGGAGTATCATCAACTTTTACATCTTAAACCCAGACCAGTTATTGTGCAAAGTCTATTTTCAGGATATGGGAACGAGAAACTCTCAGTGAAGAAATTAAAAATATTTATTAGAAAATAGAAGAGATAATGAATCTCTACCCATATCATGCAAAGATAAAATCGTATGAACTGAAAGTGGAAGCAAAAAAATTAAATTCTTTCTTCACATTCTTTTGATAATCTTTCAAAGTATGATGACATAAATTTGATAAAATGGCAAGAAACTGTTAAAATGCTGAATTATGACCATTGTTGGATACACAATGATCATTAAAGCCCACAAAAAGTTCATTTTTTATTCTTCTTCCTTCTACTCTTTAAAAACTTTTATTATTATGACAGTTGACATTCAATACACCCTATTTTGTTAAAAAATGCCTATACGGTAATTTCATCACCAAAATATTAATTAATATATACAAAACAAATTAGAATTATAATAACTACTAAACCAAGTCTTATTTTTTTCTTTTTTATGAAGTGGAAATATATTCCACTCCAATTTTTTAAAGCTACATATTTTACCATGAAAGATAAAGTGCTTAGAGAATCGTATATTTATTGTAATTAAGGATTGTTATTAAAAGAGTTACACGAAAATGAAAGTATAAGTTTAAAAGAACATTAAATTAAAATTGAATTTACTTAATTATTAGCTTTAAGTAAAATTTTAGATGTTTTTACATTGTACTAAAAGATTAAAATGTCCTAGCATCCACAAGAAAAGAAAAAAGAGGATATACAAACAAAAATTAGACGAAGGGGTGAACATAGAAAAAAACAACAACAAAGAGGTTAGGTTGGTTTGGAAAAATTGAAAAACTGTAGATGAGAGATCCAAGAAAAATACTTAAGTTAAGATGAGATAAAAGACTAACATTAGGACTTTTCAAAGGCTAGAGTAGCGGTACCCAAACAGATTAGATCGACCGGTCGATTCTGACAGCTTCTGGGGTCGATCGTAAAATAATTCAAAATTATTTAGGTCCTAATCGAAATATTTCATTTTCTGAGGCAACATGACGCGCGATGTTTGGGGAATGTTACCGATTTTTCTCGAAAGTGTGTTTCATGTATAACAAGCTGCGGTGATGGAGCATTATGTCAGTCTTTATTAAATTACATCAAGTAGAAGTTGAAGAAGTACAAACAATTTGTGGATAACGTGTGGATGCAGTCCCATGCATTCACATCGAAAACAAATTGGTGATTTAAGAAAATTATTGTTTTACAACTACAGTAAACTCCTGTAAGTTCGGTGCCCGCTTAGTTCGGCCGGCTCTCTGAGCATTAGTCACACACTTGGCAAGCGCCAGCCAGACGCGAGCAGGTAAAGCGCTCGGTAGGTAGGCCTACAGTCAGTGATTCTTGTTTCACTTGCGATTTTTACTGTTTATATAGACAGTATACTTGTGTATGGACAATAACTGATTCGCGTCGTGCATTAAACTGTTTTAAAATGAGTGAAACGCATAAACGTAAGTACAAGTCTCCGGAATAAAGACTACAAGCTCTGGAAAGATTGGACAAAAAAGTATTTGCAGAGATTTAAACGTGGGCAAAAGTACAATATACTGACTGAAGACTGGCGGCACAATAGGAAAACTATCGAAGGCTTTTATACACAGATTAAAACTGAAAAAGTTCAACAAAATCGTTGCACACTGAGAAAAGCAAAACACGAATTAGTGGAAGATGCTCTGTAGTTGAGGTTCGTTCAAGAACAAAGACGAGGAACCCTGTTTAGTGGACCAATTCTAAAAGAGAAGGCTAAGATCTTGCACTCAAAGCTTCAACCAGAAGAATCGTTCTCGGCTAGTGGAAATGGCTCTCACGATGGAAAAAGAGACACGGGGTCCATTTTATCGGAGTTTGTGGTGAGAAGCTGTCAGCAGACCAAACAGTGACCAAAAATTTTTCTGCAAAATTTCCTGCCAGCCAACATAACCAGTCTTCAACAGCCAATGGACCAAGGGGTCTTTTAGTGCTTCAAGAGAAAGTATCGCCAAAAACTGCTTTCTGATGTTCTTTCCAAATTAAAGGCTGATGACAACTTAGACCTCTTAAAAATGCTGAAGTCAGCTAATATGAAGGATGTTGTGTACATGTCGGCCATGACAAAAATCGGCATGTGACAAAATATCACCATGGACTTTTGTAAAGTCTTGGAAAAAATTTGGCCAAATATAGAAGATAAGATTGACCAAGCAATCACATCATCACATGAGCCAAACAACATTCTTGTCAACGAACCTGATGACAAAGCTGCTCTATTGAACGACCTTCAGCAAAAGACGTTTTGGAGCGGATCAATTTTAAAAAGGAGCTACACAACGACGTGTTAAACGACGAAAAAATCGCCGAGTGTGCCATTCGCCAAGAAAATGAGAAGGATAACGATACGGATGCTGCTGAGAATAAAGAAAAAGATAAAGAAAATAAAATGAACCACGTTGAAGGCTAAGCAGCTTTGCAACTACCATCGATGTAATGATTATTAAAAAGGGGCGTGACTTTGCACATCAAAAATCATTAAAAAAGAATATTCCGAAAAAAATTACTGCCTTTTTTAAGTGTTTAAGAAGCCACACCACCCATGTGCAATAATACTTTTAAATTTTATTAGGCCTAGAGTTCCGTAAGTATTGTTTTATAATATTTTTGTAACAGTCTATCTTTTCATATGTGTTAAATATATGTCAGAGTATTCCTCTGTGTTGTCTTCTATTTAATGTACAAGTGTTTTGTTTTTGCTAGATCCATACAAACAATAAATGGGCATTTTTTAGATAAGCATTCGTTGGTTCGGCCACTTTTAAGTTCGGCCTAGGATTCGGTCCCGAGGTGGCCGAACTTACGGGAGTCTACTGTATTAGTACTAGATGCTTGATTAGACGCCTTAACTATATTTTGTATTTATAAGCAACGACAATTTATTGCCAAACTTTACTTGAACCAAACAGCCATTATTAATACCAACAACAGAGAATCAAAGCCAATCAGTATTGAACGAGGCGTAAGACAAGGCTGTATACTATCTCCCACCCTCTTTAACGTGTATTCTGAGAATCTATTTAGGGAAGCTTTAAAAGATCAAAAAGGAATTATCATAGGAGGAGAAATAATTAACAATATACGGTACGCCGACGATACTGTGATTCTAGCTGAAAACCTCAACGATCTGCAGGAGCTAATCAATAGAGTTGACATGGAATGCACAATTGGAGACTGTCGATAAATATCGATAAAACTAAATACATGGTGTCCAGTAAAGTGGATATCGGCGCAACCCAATTGATGATAAAAAAAAACAGACACGTAAGATAATCCAAGAGATGATACGAAACTTGTAAAGTTCACATTAAAAATGCTAGGACACTAGATTAGAAAACTACTAATTCGGTTTATCGAGTGAAAAAATTCATAAGCTATGAATGAAAAATATTTTTAAAATTCTGTACTTCCTATTTTATTCAGGATAAGTTATTACTCAAAAATAAAACCAGGCAATTAATATTGTCCCGCAAAAGCGTAACCTACGATTCTCTATGACTTACATAATATAATCTATTCACTTTTCTTTAACATATTAAAATATTTCCATGAAAGAAAACAAACATTCTATAACATTTAAATAAAATTTCACTTTTACAATATAAATTAAGGGTACTGCAATACTTTCATATTAAAACACGGATTATCTAATCGATCCATTCTGCCAGAACCGTCAGAGATATCAAAAGTATTTATACGGGAATATTGGTAATATTTCACCTTATATCAAATTATTAAATTCTTGATCTGTGTTCATTAGATTTTAGTTGCGAAGATGTCACTTAAAGAAGAAGCTTTGTTAATTAGATTAGTCAACTAAGTTGGTTGATAAACTTTGTCACAGTCAGATGTAATCTACGTTTCAAGTAATGGTCGATATGTTCCCTTTCGTTTAAATCTTAAATCTTCACACATTATGTCGTTTCAATTTTAATTTTCACAACTTTTAAAACGAAATTTAAATGATTTTATATCATTTGTGAGTGTCAACAGTCATTTTACCCTCTTTTGTTCATTATAGTAGAGTGGGATTGCTTGCTTTCAGGTTTCACTGATGATGGTCTGATAGAACCACAAACTTTGTGAAAAATGTAATCAGTTTGGACATTTTCCTGAATTGGATCAAGAATTATTCCAACAATGTCTTTGAAATAAAGACTCATTTTTTACTACTGGTCCTGTACTTTTCCAGTTTGGTTTCCTACTGGGTTATCTAATCGTGTTAGAACATGATTTAATTATTATATACTTGGACTTTTCTGTCAAATTATAGACACCACACTGGCAGAATGGAAGAAACTTAACATATGAATGTTCTTACATAAATAACAAAACAAGTAGATCTTATAAAAACAGGATAAGAGTACGAAAAGTGAACAGTTTAAAATTAGACTAATGATCTCCCAAACGGTTACAATTAGGCAAAATATTTGATGAAAGTTTTAAGCCTTAATACATTTATAAATAAGGTGAGGCTGCCAGTACCTGTTTGTGAGTACGAGGTAAGTGGCGGAGAGCCTCTGTCACGCGTGGTAACTTTCTTTTTCATAAGCAATACCATCCCCGTATAAAGTTAGAGAGGCTATGTAGTGGTTTGGCATCACCTGAAAACGACACAATTTCCTCTTCAAATGTTTTCTTATATTATGGATTAGAAAAGCTCTACAAACTATAAAACGCCAACAAGTCTATGTGTTACATTAAAGTTATTTCACAATTTGTTTGTACTATTCATGCTAGAATTCGGCTCGAAGGACCAAATTTTATAATAAGAATAGAAGATTTTAATGAACTGTATATTAAAGGTAGAACTTTGCTTGATTAAAACTATTTGAATGCAGAAGATATAAAAAAATTATGTATCCAACCTGTTTGCAGCACAGGCTGCAGTACTGTTGCAGAAATTTACTGTAGCTTCACACAGTAAAAATATCTACATCTGTTGACTATAACCTATCGCTTTTTAAATGAATTAATAAATGAATGAACGAATTCTCTTACCTCAAAAATGATATCTTGATACCCGTAACACAGTGTGCTTCCAAAAGGATTAGTGGTGTTGGTTGAACTCGCTCGGTTCAACACTACTGGCCTTTCACTGGGCGTTAGCTTTGTGCAAATATCGTTCCAGTGAGTGTATCCACTGATTTCAACGTTCTTCAACGTGAGCTCGAATTCACATCTCATGTACATGTTGAAGTTATAATGACCGGGATAATTTGTATGTAGCACTATCTTCTTCGCTGTGTTCGTATTCGCGTCGAATAGAATATCCTAAAATAATTTATAATTATAAAAAGATAGTACCAGTGTTTTTAATATACTGTTGATTTATATGCCCCTAATTGCGATTCTATGCTTTGGAGAAGCCGAGAATACTATTTTCACCCGAATGTTCCACGCACCGTTTCTATCGATGTTCTAGTCGCGGTTTCAAGTTCAAGTTTCTATATCCGTGTGAATTGTAGACAAAAATTATTAATGTAATTAGAATGTATGGTATTTCTAATGTTATAATGTAAAGCTAATCTCTGAATAGAAGAAAGATCCAGAACTAAAGCTAGTCCGTGGGTGGCTGAACAACGTAACTAAATCACAGTGCCATGAGACTGTCAAGTAGGGGTAGGTCTTCTTCTTCTTCTTTAAGTTCCATCTTCTATCGAAGGTTGGAAATCATCATGGCTATGCGGACTCTGTTGACTGCCGCTCTAAAAAGTTCTGCACTACTGCATTCAAACCATTCCCTTAAGTTCTTAAGCCAGGATATTCTTCGTCTTCCCACATTTCGCTTTCCTCGGATTTTGCCCTGCATAATAAGTTGTAATAATGCGTATTTTTGCCCTCTCATCACATGTCCCAAGTACTCAAGTTTTCGTCTTTAAATAGTTAATATTATTTCCGCCTCATTTCCTATCCTTCTAGTTACTTCCATGTTTGACATTCTTTGAATCCATGATATTCGTAAGATTCTTCTGTAACACCAAAATTCAAAGGCGGCCAGCTTATTCAGATGAACTTGTTTTAGTGTCCAAGCTTCCAGACCATAAAGAAGAGTAGAGAACACGTAACATCGAAGCATTCTCAGGCGTAGTTCTAACCTTATATCCCGACAACAAAGAAACTTTTTAAGTTTAATAAATGATGTACGTGCTATTTCAATACGTGTCTTAATTTCTTTGGTTTGGTCTACATCTGATGTTATCCATGTTCCTAAATATTTATAGTTATTAACATTCTCAGGGGTAGGTAGTGAAGGGTTATTGGCTTCAGTGGGACTCCTTGTGCCCGAGTGATGATGTCATCTCACGTCAGCAGAGGAACAAGAACAGTGCGCGAAGTTTTTTCCCAAAGACATGCGTAAATATATACACAAGCGATATCTGTGTGAATTGTAGACGATAATTATTAATGTAATTACTATTTACGATACTTGTAAAAAGGAGGAATATATTAGATTCCATATTCTTCACTTCTATACACACACACTATATATGAATGGCACATCTTGCTCTGTTAGATCTTTTTACGATGTATTAACTTTGTATTTGGCGACGGGCTTTTCAGCTAAATAACAAATTAGAATTAAGGTTAATCAGCACAGCTCGGTATTGGTCTGGAGTAAATAGTTTTTTTGAGTTTGTAACATTTTAAAATTTTGCGTTTGTCTATTAGCGAGTTTTGGGAATTATATTTCTCCTATTTGGTTAAAGGTTGCTAATATACCTAGAAGGCATCGTGGATTATCGATGCTCACTCTGTCACAAACTTCTGAGCAATGCCCACTGATTCTAACGAACAGGTTGAAAATTATAAAAATAGAATAGAGCTCCGCAAGAAAAGGTGCTCTTACTAATGGAAGGCAAATAATTGTAAGGAACAAATTCATTTCCCGTTGACCGCACCTATTAACCGAGGAATACATAAATAAAAGTTAACATAAACAAAGTACTTTATATAATTTACTTACCAGTCCTAAGGTAAAATAATTGAAAAAATAATCACTTCTAATGGCAGTAATTTTGCGATGGGCGTTCGGGCTATGTATCCTCATTTTATCTTCACTCTTAAAAAATACTTTTGATGGGGCTCCTAAGGCTGTAGCTATTTCTTGCGCGGACTGGCCGAGTAAAACTTCTTTTTCAAATTCCTGCCGTATAGAATCCGGTAGTCTGTTATGGGATCCTGCAGAATATAATAAATTTTTGTGATAAATATATATGTTCGTGGTTTTTTAGATGAAATTCCAAAAACACGATCAAGGACAATAAAAATTTGATTAAATTACACGTTTTAAACATTTGATGAAAGAAGAAAAATAAAAACACAATCGAATCGAAGAATACAAATGTTTAAATAGGGCAATACGATGGAAAATAATAGAAGCAAAAAAATTACTAGAAGAAAAATGTAGAAAAATGGAAGAATTAGAAAAGTGGCATTATTGTTTTAATATGTAAGAGAAAGTGAAAGAATTTTTATATACCAATAACGAACAACTTATTGAAAGCCTACCAATTCTAAAAATCAGTGCGGAATATCCCATTAAAGAATTAAAAACCAACAAGTGTACAGGACCTGACCAAGTTTATCCTGAAATACTCGAATTTTGTTTAATATAATATAATACACATTGTAAACAAGTAAGAACTAAAAAAGGATCTTCTTCTTAGAGTGCCATATCCCTACGGAACGTCGGCGACTACCATGCTTATAATATTATTATACTGATCTCGGTCTTGCGCTACGTGTAGCAATTGGTCCGCTGTCAAACCTGTCCACTGCCGCAAATTCCTCAACCAAGAGAGTTTCTTCCGTCCTATCCATTTCTTTCCTTCCACCAAAAGGATACCAAAAAAAAGGATACCAAATGAAAAAAAAAACAACTTAAAATAATCTGCTATGCAGACGACGCAATACTACTTTCTCAAAGTGAAGATGATTTACAACGTATGCAGCACCAATTTAATATAACCGCCAGAAAATTTAACATGTTAATTTCCCCAAAAAAGACAAAATGCATGGTTACAACAGTAAATTTACTAAGATGTAAATTGGAGCTGGAACGTCAGATAATAGAACAAGTGATTAAGTTTAAGTATCTAGGCATCACATTATCTAGCTACGGAAAGCTCGAAACTGAAGTGAAAGATCAAGTGAATATTTATTTATTTATTTAGCGTATGGATAATTACAATACGATAAAAGTAGTATTTAGATAATAATTATGTTCAAATTGGAATTGTAACCTAAGTTAAATATTAAATATTAATGTCCAAATTGCACAGCCATTCAATTGCACCAGGAGAACACTCTGCAAAATCTTGAAGGTCTCCGCTGTATCTGCGGATTGGGCAATCCGCCATGATGTGTTGGATGGTCTGTCTCGGGGATCCACAATCACATTGTGGGCTTTCTGCATGACCCCATCGGTATAGAGAATTGGCACATTTGCCATGACCCGTGCGTATGCGATTTAATTTTGTCCATATAGGGCGTGGCAGGTTTGATCCAGTGAAGCCGATCGACGTACTTGTTATTTTGATGACGTCTGGCTCTGTTGTTGGCATCCATCTTTTCGTCCACTGCTCTTGCTTATTGTAGCTATCACCCATTCCCTGAACGGATTGGACAGGGGGTCGTCTGGACTTCAGTCTTTGTTGGTCTCGTGCGACGTGCGGAATATACTGGTGAATTGGCAGACGATTATTTGCCATGATTTTCTGATATTCTTTGACAAGTGCTGCCGTTCGTCGAATATCTGGAGGTGCTATATTGCTCAGAATTGGAAGCCATCTTAGTGGAGTTGATTTAATAGTACCAGATATTACTCTCATAGTGTAATTTAGTTGAACATCAATCTTGTTGACATGAGCGCTATTTAGCCATACCGGTGCGCAGTATTCAGCGACAGAATACACCAGGGCCAGTGAGGAGGTTCGAAGTGTATCCGCAGTGGCACCCCATGTCGTTCCAGCAAGCTTTGTTATTATGTTGTTACGGGTTCTCACTTTGGCAGCTACATTCGTAAGATGGGTTTTGAACGTCACTGATCTGTCGAGCGTTACACCCAGGTATTTAGGGTTGTTATTATGTTTCAAAGTCTCGCCATTGAAGGTGATGCTAAGGGTGTCATTCGAAAGCTGATTTGTGAGATGGAAGAGGCTTGTCTCAGTTTTGTTTGTATTAGGGCGAAGTCGTCATTGTTTAAAGTAGTCGCAGAGAACCCTTAAGTCTTCGGTAAGCGCCCTTTCTCCAACATCTTTGGCTTGGTTTTGAAATGCGATAGCGATCAAGTGAATAGAGCAAACAGAACCACAGGCTGCTTGAATGAAACAATATGTAGAAATAAAAATATCGGGAAAGAAACGAAAGGTAGAATTTACAAGACAGTCATCAGACCAATAGGGACGAAAAGGATGTTAGAAACAGCAGAGATGAAAATACTTACAAAAATTGATGGGACAAAGACACTATGGGACATAGCTAGAAATACAGATATACGACGTAGATGCAAGGTGGAGAACATCAAGAACTGGGTAGGAAATAGAAAATTAGAATGAAACTATCATATAAGCCGAATGACAACAAATAGAGTAAGTAGTAAAGACGGCAAGGTAAGGTAAGTAGAAAGACCACGAAAGCGATGGAACGACAACTTACTGGAGGTACATTGAAAAACAGACAGAGTCATGTCTACATAAATAGAAAAAGGAGAAGAAAGAAGAAAACTATCGAGCTGTAAAAAATGTTTTGTTTCCAGATAAGTCGAGAATTCAATTATGGAAGCCACATGGACGAAACCTCGTCTACAGAATAGCTGACGAACGGTAAGCCAGATATGACCTCATACAGAGCGTTATTTTTGGTGATGACGGCATAGTGGTATGAGACCAAACTTGTGAAGGTGATTGGGTGAATGACAGCTGACATGTACCGGTGGTCCAATAAGCCGATCTCTCGGTTATATATCAGAAACTATTCATGTTATAACTTCAGGAGAAAAAATTCCTTAGTAAAAGTGGCCAAGAGAAATCGCTGGAAATAACTTTCAAGATTCTGGATTAACCGCTAGGGGGCGTAACCTGCGATGAAAATTTTGAAAACCAGTTTTTTGGGAAATATGTCCAATTATACCAAGTGTTAAATAAGTAAACTAGAAAGAGGCATACATTCTGCACAAAGTTGTTCAAGTTTTTTTTTATTTTTTCAAATAAAGGGTGGGGGAGAGTGGGAAAGTATTTGTGGATAAATACCTGTAACTTTGGTTTGGATCAACCGATTTTAATGAAATTAGTGTCATTAGAAAGAGTGTGGATGAATTAATTTACATCTACTATAAAATACTTGCATTTAGTTTTAATAGTCGTAGGTAGAGGGGACTTTGAAATAGAAAAAATTAAAATTTGTTTTTTCTTCAAAATTTTTAATGGAAACACCTATTTATTGTTAATTATAATGGAACTGTTGTTAATTATAATGGATTAAATTCGTAACAAAATGGCGCAAACCGCATGTTAATAGCTTTTATCGAACTCAAGATATGAAGAAAAACGCATAAACATAAGTAAGTATAGTATTGACAGTAGTAATTTAGTAGAAGTAATTTATAATACAGGGTGTGTCAATACTATACTTACTTATGTTTATGAGTTTTTAATCGTATCTCGAGTTCAACAAAAGCTATTAACATGCGGTTTGCTCCATTTTGTTACGAATTTAATCCAGTTCCATTATAAATTACAATAATTAGGTGTTTCCACTAAAAATTTCGAAGAAAAACAAATTTTAATTTTTTTTATTTTAAAGTCCCCTCTACCTACGACTATTAAAACTAAATGCAAGTATTTTATAGTAGATGTGAATTAATTCATCCACACTCTTTCTAATGACACTAATTTCATTAAAATCGGTTGATCCAAACCAAAGTTATAGGCATTTACCCACAAATACTTTCCCACTCTCCCCCACCCTTTATTTGAATAAATAAAAAAAAAAGTACTTGAACAACTTTGTGCAGAATGTATGCCTCTTTCTAGTTTACTTATTTAACACTTGGTATAAATTGGACATATTTCTCAAAAAACTGGTTTTTCAAAATTTTCTTCGCAGGTTACGCCCCCTAGCGGTTAATCCAGAATCTTGAAAGTTATTTCCAGCGATTTCTCTTGGCCACTTTTACTAAGGAATTTTTTTCTCCTAAAGTTATAATGTGAATAGTTTCTGATATATAGCTGAGAGATCGGCTTATTGGACCACCCGGTACATTGAAAACATTTTAGAATATAATGTTTTACCATTTGCCGGTCAAATTGGATATGACATATTCGTGCTAATGCACGTTCTCATTTCGCTAGAATAGTGAATGATTACCTTGACGAGGTTCAGAAAGATTTTATTGGCCACCATACTGCCCAGATTTAAATCAGATCGCACACCCACCTTAATTCCTTCCGATATATTATCGGATGTATATTATCGATTCAATATTTATATTATTATTTTCTTTTTAAATGCAAAAAAAAGGATAAAACGAAAGTCAGTAAAAGCTAAATAACGCAAAAATTGGTTAAAATAAAAAACCACACAGTCCAAATTACCTGGTATGGGCCAAGGTAGAAGTAATCCTGAATATAAAAATAAATAAAAAAAAAATAAAAATATGATACAAATTAATATTAAAAATAAAAACAATATTTTTTTTTTGTTTACAAAAAACCCGCTTCAACCTAATAAGGTTATTAGCGAAACGGTAAGAGTTGATTACAGTTCGCTTAGTAAATTAAAGTCTTTTAAAAACAAAAGTAGGTTATCTATAGTGTTTTTTGAATTTAAAATGTCTTTAGGATTGATAAACTGCGTTAGGCTTTCACGGCCATCGTCTAACTTGTTTAAACTGTTTGTTCGGGCTATTAGACCGTTGTCTTCTGAGATTAGTTCTCGACGTTTTGCCAACACTAGGTGTTGGCATCTTCTGGAGATGTTAATGCTTCGCTTGTAAGCAGAAACTGACGCTGCGTTGTAATACGGAGGCATTATTTATATTTTTCACTCGCCTCCCCTCCACTTGTTTCGGCTTTGGAAGGCGTGTCGTTGTTTGTAGTAGCTTTTCTTTTTTCGTGTTTGGCGGGAAGGGCGTTTGTGGATTTAAATATTGGTATCCATGTCTTGTTAATTTTCAGTCC